ACCCACCCTATCTTAACCCCTACCCCCGACTCATACCCCATTACCCCACCCCCTTTACCCTACCCCGACTCTACTGACATGCACTTTGTCATGTTGTGCACTCAAAATAATAATACAATACAACGCTTATACGCAGTATAGCGTAGTAAGGTTCGTATTCACATGGAAATGAATACTTCTCTTTTATAGAAATGGTAATAAGTAACAAGGGGGGGGGGGGGTTAAGATTGTTTGGTGAACTTTAATTATATTTAAACACTACGATGAACGACTTATGTGGTTTACTTAATAGAGATGAAGACTTGGTTTTGCTTTTATCCACTTAATGAAATGTTCGCCGATCCCGGTTATATCTTTAACTATTTTCCTCTCGAATACTCAATCGAGGAGTATATCCAGTTCATCGAGGGTAGATATTAATAACGAGACGCGTTCATTGATAAAACTTACTACCGAGTTAATATAGAACAGGCGCCGTATATTAACCCGATAGTAGCAATAAAATCAAGATAAAAACGATTGAGATTGATAACCTCAACACAAGCGGTTTATCAGTTTAATCAATATAATTAATTCCCCTTCCGTTATTATCCATGAGACACATGCATTAATAACCCAAGTTTACTACCGTGAAAGGACCGAATTAATAACAAGCTTATTAATCGATCGATTCTAGTAATAATTAATATATGAAACAAAACTAGTTGATCCTTTAAGTAATGCTCAAAATATTAATATGAAATAGGAATAGGAATTAATTAATATTCAAGGAAGAAGATTAAAGAAAATAACTCACAACTTACAATTCATTAAGCTTCAAAGTAGAAAAACCAAGACGGAAGAGTTTAGCTCCTCATTTGGAGACTAAACATAATGAAAATATAAAGAAAGAACTTATCTAGACTCAGCTTAGAAGTGTATAGGAATTGGTGATTTTTTTGTGAAGGAAAGGAGGTGTATTTATAGGCTTTTGGGTCATCAGCTCGTGTACCCGATCGAGTACACATAGGGTACCCGACCAGGTATTCCCAGAATGGTGAATTCGAGTTATACTCGACCGAATTCAAGGTTAAATTTATTTGCATACCTGATCGGGTGTGTCGGTGTACCCGATCGGGTATAACAACTGATCGTGCCCAAATCTTCCCCTGCATGTCCATTTGTTTCCCGAATTGATCTGATTGAAAGTCAAGTGGGTACCCGATCGGTTATAGGGTATACCTGACCGGGTACAAGTCAAAATCAGGAACTTTCCTTTTTTGTCTCGTATTCTTGCACCTTCCTTCCTCTTTTGGTTTCACCCATGATCATTTGATTGATCCTGAACCTGTTTTAGCTCAGAATAAACCTAATTTAAACATATTACAACTATTTTACAAACATAATTATTACACCAAAAGTGTGTAATTTCCAAAGTATCAAACAACAAAAACTAACTAAAAACACACACATACATATGAAAATTACAAGTGTATCACCTACCCATTAACCCTCTACCACCTCCCCTACCTTGACCCACCCCCTACCAAACCCCTTACCCCTTACCCTACCTACCCATGACCATACTCCTTACCCTACTTATACCCCCCTTTACCCTACCCCTTTAACCCCTACCACCTGCCCTACCTTGACTGCACCCCGACCCCTACTCACTAACCCCCCGACCATACCCCACCCCACTCGTACCTTTTTACCCTAACCCGAACCTGCCCCTTTAACCCCTACCACCTGCCCCTACCTTGACCCCTACCCCACATATTATATTATATTATACACCTGTGTTCATGAATGTTTGTGTATGTATATATGTAGTATAAGGTTATTTTAGATATTTTAATGTCAAACGGTGTTGTTAAATCCTTTGAAGTAAACATGAGATTACAACACTGCTTATTTTATGTGTCGCTTATTAACGCGAGCCTTTATAAGCACCGTTTAGTAACCTTGAAGTAATCATGTGCTTAATGTTTTTACATTTGTTTTCAACCGGCCAAATTACCAAATTGTTTGGGGGGGGGGGGGTCATTGGACAGATTGGTAAAAAAATCACTTGAGGCATATTGGTTAAAAAAAAGAAGGCCTGGTGACAAATTGGTCAATTTTTTGTGTGATAAACTTTTGATCCTCGACTTTAGAATTCCCAACATTTCATATTCTAAGTATTGTGAAGTTGACATTTGCAGTCTTTTTACTTTAATTTTGACATCAAAAGTGGAAGTCTAAAAATGTCAATGACCGTGTTTGATAATATTAGTTGTCTGCTAGCTCATAACCGGTTGAATCAACAGATTGATATTAGCGGATTCATTAGTTTTTTTAACTAACCGCTTTCATTAGCGGTTTGAAATTAAACGTTAGTAACTTAAAATTTGCAATTAGTTTTTCAGACGTAAAATGACCATTAAAAATGAATTTAAAAGCTTATACATTTAAAGTAATTTTATTTCTTTTTATTTTTAATAAGTTTTAGAAAAAGATGTAAAAGCTATGTTTACGTTTACTTTAAATAATTACTAACAGTACCATTTTAAAGATATGTACATTAATGCGAGCACACACAAATAAATTCAAATATTTTTAGTAATAATATTTTTAATATGACTATTTATAATTTTTTTTAAAGTCTACTCCATTTAAAAAATCTACTCCAGAATTCTACTCCATATAACTATTTTTTAGTTTTTTTCAAAAAAAAAAAAAATACTCCTTAGTTATTTAAAATAAATGTAAATACAATTTTTAAAACCTTTTAAAAAACTTATTAAAAATAAAATAAATAAGGTTAAGATATAATATATACTTTTAAATTTATATCTTTAATGGTCATTTTACGTCTTAACATTTAATCGCAAACAATTAAGTTACAAACATTTTATTTCAAACGCTAATGAAAGGGGTTAGTTATAAAAACTAACGGAATCCGCTATTATCAATTTCAACCAGCTATTAGCTACTAGACTAATGATATTATCAAACATGGTCGTTGACATTTTTAGACTACTTTTGATGACAAAATCAAAGTAAAAAGACTGAAAATGACAAGTTCACAATACTTTTTTTTATCATCAAAACAGATGGCTTAAATTGATATCATAACATTCAGATAGGGGGCAAAACGACAAAAGGACCACATACAACTGTCAGCCCTCGAACCAGACTTAGAGTCAATCACCTCCGAAAAAGCAATATAACTCGTTGATCCTATAATGGGCATAAATGAGCCAACGATGATTAAAGCAGATCTCCCATCACTCAATCCTAATGCAAGAGTCTTACAACAATAAAAAATAACCAACAGAAAAATATACAATCTGATCATGAAAAATAAATAGCATGCAAACGGTAAAATTAAAATACTGCTTCAAAACCCTAAACTCTCCTGCACTCTATGGTGGCGGTTTAGGAGACAGACGGTCCAATAGTACTGTAGCATCTTCCGCTCCTTGCCTCTGGTTCGGATATGTTCCAATCCCTAGCCTCACGCTTCGTCCATGACTTTCTAATCTCAACCATAAATGGCATCCTCGAAACTCTCCACCTGCTGCTAGGGGTACACAACCTTTGGCCGCCATATAGGCGCTGCGATTTGTCGAAGAAGAGAATCTCACGAAAGGCTGACGAAAGTCGCACTTCGTCGAAAACGAAAGCAGAGAAAAACAACCCCTAACCGTAGGGGGGACGGTCGCCTAGCCAATTTCACAATACTTAGAACATGAAAAGTCGGGAATTCTAAAGTTGAGGATCGAAAGTTCATCGCTCACAAAAAAAGACCAATTTGTCACTAAGTTTTTTTAACCACTTTGGTAATTTGGCCGTTTTCAGCCCCCTTTGCATTTCGTCTCAATTCCTTCCGCCTTCGTTCCCATTTCCCGCCTTCTCTACACACTTCAATCTCCGCCTCTTTCTCTGTTATTCCGCCTTCACCTAGATGGCTAGATCCATTTCACCTACGACATTTGTGCCATATCGAATCAGATTTCCCCGATTTCCGTAAGCGAGATCATCAAGGAAAATATCATTCACATGGTTGTCATTTCCATCCTCCATCATCACGAGAATCATTCATAAACCGGCTAAATTTTACTGCTTTAGAATACATTTTTGTTAAGTTTTGATTCACATGTGATCGACCTAGAAAGTCAATGGCCAATCAGCTAATACATTTTATAAGCTAACCAAATCAGGTCGATCCAAGATGCTCCGCCAAAGTCAATGGCCACTTGAGCAAGACATATGGTTCAATGGGGTTCTTGTTTTTTTACACTTCCATTTTTATCATTTTAAGCTTAAGTTTGAGTAACTGGAAATATAATTTTCAAATAAGCTCCAGTTTGAATGTGTTTTACAATCTTTATCAGAATTTCTTTGACTGAGGATTTCAGAGTTGCTAATTTAATACGTAGTACAACCGGTAGTTGCAAATTGCACTAAATATGGGATATATAAGTTGTGGAGGAGAATGTTTAAAACAAAGGCATGATTTTGTTAACTCTTTCTAAGTTTTCTTTACACTTGCAACTTTACTAAACTTAAGGCAATACAAATTATGCTAACAAAAAGTGAAGGAAATGGATCTTCTTCATACTATTATCTTAGTTTTGATTCGGTTTCAAATTGTTAAAACACTCTTTAGTCATCTTAAGAATTTACAAGCACTATAAATAGCTACACATAAAACACTAGTTTATACGGAGTAGTTGTTAAAACAACTTTTTGAATAATTAGCAAAGACAGTCTACTTAAAAATCACTAAGCAGAAATTTTATACGTAGTAGCTTTCAGGGCTCACTGAAACAAAAATTGCCTTTACATAAATGTAGAAGCTTGGGATTCAAGCTTGAGAGTGAAATAAGTGCATTATAAGCTAATACCTTAATACCTCATGTTTATTTGTAAGGCTTCTCTTTTTTTTTGCTCTTTTTTAATACCAAAATCATGACCATATATAGAAATTCTCAACACTGTGCATTTGTTGCAATAAACAATGACCCAGAAAGTTTTCTCGAAGCTAAAAAACAGCATGAAATTGCCAAGATGATCATGCTATGCGGTATCTCAATTCTCCATCCAAGCCAACGTCCCCACTATAAGATTTTTGCTAGGAAGTTCTCCGGCACATGGTGCAAGATATGTTAATTGCTTCCTTTTCATGTCAACCTCAGTGATATAGATGAACCCAGCAACATTACTGGAAATAATCTGATCAGGTTCTTTGGCATATGAGACAGCAAGAACTAAATGCAACAAGTCTCTGTTGATGTTGACAGGAACTAATCTTGCTGGATCTGCAGCTGGCTCTGCACCAATCGGTAGAGCTGAACGCGGGGCTTGTGGGCCGCCTCCAATTCGGAATATTGACAGGTCACCGAAACTTGATATATTGGAGTACGGAGAAAGATCATTTGATTGACCATAAAAGTACTCCCTTATTCTATTGGCTCTGGTCTTTAGACGTACTTTAGCATTCCTAGACACAACACCACCAGATCTTTGAAGTTTCACTACATCAACATTAGGCTTGTTTTTCAACACGTTATTGAGCATACTCCACAGTTTCTCCTGACCCAAGACAAGGACAACAGTGGCATTGAAGGTATCAATTGCATGAAGTAGCAACTCGTAACCAACCCCTTCTATCCAACCCATGGTATTGATAACCATTCCAGCAGATTGAGATTCCGTATTTCCATCAAACTGCTTTTCCAAAGTTTTAGCTAGTTCCTTTACGATTACCTTGTAAAGATCAACATTCACACTTGGACTAACATGGCCATAGAAGTAGACTAGTGGCATTTCAAGAGGGATTCCATCTACTGGATCAATGGGCAATTCAATTGGAGTAGCAGCAATACAACCTGGTACAGTTATAAAACCTTGGCCTACGTCCAAATCCACAAAGGTCGGTTTCCACCCCAGTTTAGCAGCCCAACTAAGAAGCATCCGTGCTAAGGTACTCTTGCCAGAATCTGAGGGTCCCACAACGATAACTCTAGGCCCCTGGTAAGTACCAGAGTCATTTGGTGAAGCTTTTGCACGTTCCCGCCGTGCATCAAGTACAGCATGTACATTTACATAACTGATCATAGGAGTCTCATCAGATGTATACTCGTTTTCAGTTGGCCCATCCATCTCAATTGTGGCCCCATACCAAGTAAATACGGCGAATTTAAGGCGAGGCGGGAAGGTGATCCAAATTTCAGGGGGCAGTTCGGTGCCGAAGATTTCGGCAGTGCCGTTAAGGACGCGAAGCCGGAGAGGTGTGTCGGCACTGACTTCTATCCTGAGCTCACACTCTTTGTCAAGCTTCTCTTGCCGGACGTTCGACCTGCCGCTTCCAGCGTGACCATGCGTCGCCATTAACTGGTCGTACCTCAAAGCGAAAGGAAGTAAGGCTTCTTTTCAAGTAAGCAGTTCATATATGTTCATCATTTCATTTTTTTATTGCCTATTTTGTTTAAACTTACTCTTTAGCTTATAATTTTTTTAAACTGCAACTCATCTTAATAGCCATTGGTTTTTGTTGTTTTATTCCAGCTTGAGTTTCAATGTTTTGTATAACCTTCGATTTTAGTTAGGTTTATTGGAAATATTGATTTAAACCAAATCGTTATGGAATCAAATTCATGCTCAATTGGTCATATTTACTCATATTGTGACTTGGTTTAAATCAATATTTCCAAATGGGAATTTTCCATGCTCAATTGGTTCTTATTAAACATGTGTTAAGATCAGGAGGTTATTGGTATAGTATGAATAGAACATAACACATGTTCAATATTTCCAATAAACCTAACCAAGCGTACCTTCAAGAGTTCAAGATCCCGAACGTTGACGCAGCTTTCAATCGTCACTCTTCTTCCGGTAGGGCTATTTTGAGAAACACAAATGGGAATTTTTTGTTTGGTAGCTCTTTTCCCCTTGCAGCTAAGTCTGTCCTTGAGGCAAAACTCTCAGCCGTTTTTGTTGTTGTACAATGGTTATTGGTGCTTGGTTACGAAGATGTTGAAATTGAATCGGATTCTCTAGCATCAATCTCTCTCCTTCGACTTCGGGCATCTTCTCCAACCTTTAAACATCTCACTGAGCCCAACACAAGGATTGCAGACGGTTCCAATTTCTCATTCCTTCATTGCTTTCGAGAGGCTAACGATGCTGCTCATCTTCAAGCTCAATCATTCTCTTCTCTGCGCAGAGCTACGATCTTCACATGTGTTACGCAGCTTCCAGATCGAATTAGAGGGGCTCTGCACCTGGATTTTGTTGGTTGTCCGAAATTAAGGGTTTTCTAATCGGGCTCAACCTGATGTTGTTGTTACCATTGTGGGTTTCTTATTTTACCTCATTCTTTCTTTACTAATTGGGTCGGGCCTGTCCCATAGTTATTTATTTAGGTCTTACCCACTTTATTTGTACTTTATCTTTTTCTTCTTAATAATATCCGGCAAATGTTTCCCGTCATTTGTCCCACTGATTTTGGTAGTGAATTTTTTTACAAGAATATTACTAAAATAAAACTTATTTACATAAATATGACTATTCATTACTGCAACGTAGTGTTGTGGTAACTAAAGTTCAAAACTTGAATATGAATTACTATGATTTCATTACTACTCTAGTAACTAATCATATTTTTGTAAATCATCTTTATTTTGGTCATATTTATGTAATTATTTCAAGTAATAAAGACACTTCTTAGGATGTTTTTACTTGGACTGTAATTTTCTGGTCTGGTCTGATCTGGTCTGGTTTCTTTGTATTTTTATAACTACCCAAGTCTGGTCTAGTCTAGTCTGGTCTAGTCTGATCTGGTTTGGTCTGGGACAAATTACAGTTCAAGTAAAAACATCCCTAGAGAGTAGTGTCTACTTGCTGCCATAGAAGTAGAAAAACTTTTACCCAAATAGAAGTTCTAAACGTTTAAGCGGGGTAATATGATCACATTTTCCTACCATGGCATTGAGATAAGCTCCCTTGGGTTTCGCACAAAGCTGGACTACTTTGCTCTATCAGTCAACTTTCACAGGCAAAAAATCCTATGCACAGCTGCAAAGTAAAACTCAATTTCAGAATTATGTAATTCATAATCAAGTCACTTAATAATGTCATACTGCGTATAGGGAAAATCATGACAACTTTGCAGATGAAAAATATGGTTATGTATAAATAGGGAGACATTTTGATTAGCTTACTTGGATGATCAATGAAAAGTATCTAAGATATGAAAACAAGTGAGCAGATAATGTGCACATTTTCTTCAAAATATGCATACTCGTCCTCTCTAAAATAATTGATACTTAGATAACAATTTACTGACTTTAGCTACTTGGGTTTGGTTTGAGGTATATATTGAAATGTTGGTTGAGGATGTGGTTTATGTGGTAAAAAATACTCTGCAAGTTTGATTGTCAGCATTGAGAAGTTCTATTCTCAATTAAGCACATCCACAAACATATCACATCCCAAAATTATTTATAATTATAGGTTTAAGGAACCCAACTTTTCTTCTGAGATGGAACAATGCCATGATGCTGAAATCCCGTCTGACCTTAATCTCCTTTGAGAGGGTAGAAGACAGTCATGGTGGAAAGGCTTATACTTGGAAGTCACGCTCAGAAGCACAAAGCTAAAGGCATGGCACTAGCATCCATGTGAAAGTAGTCTTTATTTAACTCAAAGATTTTCAACTTGAACTAAAATCAGCAAATTTAAAAAAATTCTTGAAGACCTACATCATTAGCAAGTTTTAATGATTTTTTAATAGCCTATTTTGTTTGAACTTACTATTTAGCATATAACTTTTTAAATATGCACTTCATCTTAATAGCCACCGGTGTTTGTTGTTTTATTCAAGCTTGAGTTTCAATGTTTTTTATAATCTTCAATTTTAGTTAGGTTTATTGGAAATGTTGTCCTCAAATAAGCAAATTTCCCAAATCTGCATTGTATTGTGATTGCTCATATTCTAGGGAGCACTATAGTTTGGTGCAGAATGAACAAAAAATAACACTTTTGAGTAGTTTTCTAAACATTGGAACACATATTTAATGGAAATTTAAGGCAAATTAAAATAAGAGCACTTTTAAGAACTGAAAAGTGATAATTGTATCGGGATGGTGTTGATTTTTTCCCACATTGTAACATCTTGTTGAAACAAACTATTAACCGATATAATACCCTTAATCTATTCTCTCAAATGAAGCTAAGCAAGTGGCGATAAAGCTCAACCGCCTTCATACCCTTTACATCACCTTTCAATCTTATGTAGTTGTGTCTTTCTCAATTTCTTCAGACCTCATTCCCTTTCAATTTTTATGCTATCTCATCATGGTGGATCATCATCTCTTCTTTCTGCCCCATCTTCATCTCTCTTCCTTTTATTAATCATTTTTAGTATGAGTTAATCGATTTTGAGGGTTTGAATCTAAACATATGGTTTTTGTATTGTTTTTTGTTTTTAGATATGGCCGCACCTCTATCTCCTTCCCCTTATTAATGACTTATTATGAGTTCATCTTCTGGGGGTTGAAATTTAATCATATGTTTTTTTTTTCTTTTTATATTTGTTTCGGAAAACTGGAATCCATTTTGGTTTTCTTTCTTTAGTCCACCCGCCTCATCACTTTCAGCATGATTTTTGTATTGGAGAATTGTAACCTATTGTAGCTATATATAACAGCAACACCTTTGGTCTTATTTTTCTCTCATGGAGCACCATTATGTTAACTTCAATTACTCAAATCAATCAGGTAAGTACCTTTTAAGTCTTCTACATAACAAAACTACATTTCTAGGAAAAGTTTGTCCCAAATAAGTAAAGAAAAGAGTTGCATTAGGATATGACGGATGGTCAAATGGATTCTCCTTTGTCTCACTTAATGCTATCGGTACTCAAACTCTTGGAAAGACAATATAAAACTAAAGTGGGCTTTGCTAAAATATGTTTGTATGTTGAAAGCATATAAAATATGCTTCAATGATCTATCATGTTAAAAAATTTGGCCGAAGCACATTTTGAATAACATTTAAAAACAAACCTCAGTTTTTCTTTGCTTTCTTAAAATAGCCAATGGGCAGCAATGTGCATATTACTCATTTCAAGTGCATTTGCGTTTATATAAAAACCTATCACTTAATTGACCTTAATTTCAAGTGCATTTGCGTTTAATTGATCAAGATGGGTTGTTTCCCATGAATCAGTTTGTGCATATGAAAACCTATCACTTAAGAGCACCATTAGCTAGGGATATAAGAAGACAAAAGAAATATGTAAATTGGCCTTCAAATACCTTTTGTTGGAACTATATGGCTTCTAAGCTCAAACTCTCAAAATCCTTATGCCTCATTCCACATTGTTTATAGAGAAATAACGTTATAATGGATATATCACTTAGAAGTGCAATTTGATAAATCATGTCGAATAAGGAAACCTCCAATTAACATCACATCATATGGATTCCTCAACAACTCATCCTTTTCTCAGTCAAAAGTCCATCTATCATTTTTACAAGTGTCATATAAATAATACGAAAGATCATTATAAAGTGCTCGAAGAATTCTTCTATCAGAAGTTGCATGATGTTAATCATGAAATGAGATCATTTTAGAACAATCAGCTAGATAGTTCATCATTATACGAAAGATCATTTTAGAGTGTCAAAGAATAACATTATCGCATGTATTGCATGAATTTTTTTTAAAGTGTCAAAGAATAACATTATCACATGTATTGCATGAATTTTGTGGAGGTATGTGTGCTTGAAATTATTTTACTTGACATTTCATATTCAATAAGGATATTTATTCTTTTCGCGAAATTGAGCATCATTGAGTTTTAATGATTCTTAGAGAGCTATGTTTTAGTGGTATTTGGTTAATTTCTCTTGGTATCATTTTTTATGCTGTAATTCTGGAGTTGTTTATTTGGGTGGTTGTGACTAATCTATTAGGAATATTCAAATACAAGCATTTGTTGGGTGGATTTTGAATTGATTTTTGGGATATTTTTTTGCACTTTAGAGCAAATTTGTGGAAGGATTTCCAACACGGTTGGATCAAATTTCAAGCTGAGTTTTCACATTTAGGCGGTGGCTATTGTTATACATAGTATTGCATTTCATGTCTTCAACTGGGCTCAGGAGCAGGATTCTGGGCAACTTTTTTGTTGCATACTGGTAGAAGTTCAGCCGGTTCATCAACAAGAAAAATTTCTAGGAATGTTTTTTTTGCTACCCATTTAAGTATTTGATTTGAAGAGCCCCCCTTAGTTTTAACCCCCCCCCCCCCCATTTTGGGATTAGGATTGGCTTTGTAGCTGGGTAGGGTTCCTGTCTTTTATAAACCTTTGGATTCACTTTCCGTCCATCTCAAACAGTTCTTTCCACTGCTTGCTGCCCTTGGATTGCCTCCAGGTACTCTGCCGTGCGGCAGAGGATCCAATTCTTTAATTTTGGTACATAATTAGTTTATTTTTTATTTTATTTAATATTTAGTCATAATAAAGTTTAAATTGTTTTAGGACATCATTGAGATTCAAATACTAATTACCACTTACATCATTTATTTTAAGTAACCACTAAAAAAGAAACTCCTAACTATGCAAATTTACTTCCTTTCATAATTTTTGCTATAAAATTATTAGGATGATATTCAGAACTAACTATCTTTTAAGAAGTGTGCCAATACTTATATACTTCCTTTTAATAAATTGAAGGAATTCTTTTAAATTTCCTATTAAGAATACTTACTAACCTTCTTTTGAACTTATATACTTATACATTTCCCTAAAATCTCTAAACAACCTTGAATAGATTAACTAACTCATAAGTGAGCATTCAAATCTAGATCAAACACTAATACTATTACCTAATTCACATCTTTATACACACAATATTAATTTTTATTCAACTATTCTTTTTCTTCAAAAATATTCTATTTTATTCATGGAATAGAAGGCATCCTCATTAATATGGCAACAACAAAAGGTGGGTAATCATGTTTTTCCTAGTGAATAATTATTTTTTATCGGTAGAATAAACAATTGGTTTATATATTTTAGAAAAATAGAATCCAATTTTGTCATATATGATTGATCATTTTAAATTAATATTAACTCAAACTATGGAAGAAGCAATAATATCTCAAACACATATTGGCGGAATGACTCTCATACGGATGAAAAGCTATATACAAATGGGAATCTGATGAATGTTCTTGATAGGTAAATGACAATATTTCTTAAACAAATTAGTTATGTTAGAATGTTTTACTTGGACTGTAATTTGCTGATCTGGTCATGTTTGGTTTGTTTATGTCTGATCTGATCTGGTTTGTTTATGTCTGGTCTTTTCTGGTATGGTAAACGTCTGGTCTCTGTGTATTTTATAACTACTGAAGTCAAGTTTGGTCTAGTTTGGTCTGTTTAAGTCTGGTATGGTCTATTTGAGTCTGATCTGGTCTGTTTAAGTGTAGTCTGGTCTAGTCTGGGACTAAAAACAGTCCAATTAAAACATCTTTAATCAACAAAGGATCATTAACAAGATATAAACGTAATGAAGTAATCCCACTTTTGATCCTACGAGTTTTATGTCAATTCCACATTTAATTCACGCCTTTCACTTGGTCCACTTTTGATATGTGACTAATGTTTTTAACCATTTGTGGTCCTTTGTAGACCATTTTAACCACCACAAACATTGGTGGAAGGATCATATATGAATGAAAACACAATAACCATGTATCAAAAGTGGACAAAGTGAAAAATGTAGACTAAATACGGAATTGACTTAAAACTCATAGGATCAAAAGTGGAATTTATTCTAAAAGCAATAATTTCACTATGTCACTAAATGCATCATAGTGCTCCAAGTGTTTGGTATATTATATGCATTTGTAATTATAGGTCAAGATCATTTGCACGTTCAATTACGAAGCATAATAAGACTTGGTAAGGTGGCATAAAGTAGATGTCCCCCCTCCCATACTAGCTACCCATTCTTTAATTACTTTTGGGAATAGTTGACTAAGGGTTTCTAGACATGCATTAGAGGAATAACATATGTGGATTTCTATTCATGCCTAAAAATAGGCTTTCTAGTGCATATGTACACGGAACCAATGGAAGCTCTTAGCCAACTTAATCGACTAATTGGATTATTAGCTTATTTTCTTAGTCGACAGACTGGCTTAATACTCCAAGTGGAAGGTTATTTTTGAATAGTTTAGATAAAGTTAACAAATACACTGTATATGTTCATTTTTTTAAAAAATAATATATGCTCAAAGTTAAATACGCAAAATATTATAGTTTTAAAATTAAATGTGGCAAATATTCTTTCAGAAAAGGCAAGAGTCAAGGGCATTATGGAAAACCGGCAGAGTTTTTCGCATCCTCTTTTTACACATGCAGAGTTGTATGTTGCGGGTTCGATGGTGACAAGCCCGTTTGACTTAATGTTCATGATAGATGATGAATAAAGAAATTCGGGAAAAACCACAAAAAAATGTTATATACAAAGTCTTCAACAATTTATAATTTGTGTGCTTATTAAACTTCTAATACGTATATGTTATTATTTATTTACAATTCATTTAATTCGCGTGATAGAATAATAATATGATTTGTAAATGCTTTATAATTAACATTTACAATAGACACATATTACATCCCGTGCAACGCACGAGTGAGTCGTTCCATCTCGAGAGGCGTTTGTTACATGTGTTGGACAAAAACATCTTAAGGAAACAACGTTTTATGTTGGGTTTGGTTTCAATTAATTTTACGTTTTTCCTTGTCCAATTATTTTCTTATTTCATTTGCATGCAGAATTGTAGCACACACATATATATACACAACCCAACCCGAACCGAAGTTCTGAAACCGGACCAACCCGAAAGCATTGGTCCTCCAATCGGTCTAAAAATGTAGAACTTGAAGGAGAACTTGAAGGTTTTCCGTTTTCCCCCTATCATAGCCAAAACCCAATCCAACCCGATCCGATCTCACCGAGTTATATCTATAATAATTTCTTGGGAAATGCTAAGAGTACAAACAAACTTACAAAAAAACTTACAAACGGTTGATGTGATTATTGTAATGACTTTTGATGTAAAAGTAATGTGATAGTGTAAAATAATATGATACTCCCACATAGACTTTTTGTAAGACTTTTGTAAGAGTGTATGAATGTCTTGCATGACTCTAATTTCTTGCCTACCCAGCAATTAGCAAGTTATCAACTGAAAAAAGTATTTTGACTAGGAATTATTTGTCACGAAATTCAGAACATATCAGAACCAGAAACCATATGCGAATATTTCTTCCTTATACTCAACTCCATCGTCGTGTCAATTATTTCCACACGCCATAATAATTCAGTACCCCTCACAGAACCAGGCCGTCTCAGATAATATCAACAACGCAGGGTAAATCCGACAATCAGCTACTGTCTTCTGTCTCTCCCAAACTGGCCAAAACTTTTCTTTTATTTGGTTCTTGAAAAATCTCAAACCCGCAAAAATACTGCCTTCCGTATTACGGATTATTTAATGATTAATGTTAGCTAACCGTCGGCCATTATCCCCGTCGGCCGTACAATTCACCGCCGGTAGTTTACAAGTATCCCTCTCCGGCCTCAACTGAGGCGCCGAATTTCGAGATTAGATCTTTGTCTCCTGGTGAATTGAACTCTAGTGTTGGCATTTTTTAGTTTTCAAAAGATTGAACCTTTCCGCTTAGAATACGTACTCATTCGTTTTTTTCAATGCATACAGAGTTACAGAAGGCATGGAAAGGAAAATATGGTTAAAGGTGGTTATTTTAATATGCTTATGTGCATTCTCAACTGGCAGAGGTAATTATATGCTAATTAATCAGAGTTTTCCAGTTTGGTAATTTCCTGTTCTTTGCTTTTTATTTTATTTTCCTTTGGAAACTATTGGAATTCGGACTGTACTCTTTTACTTCACGTTTTGGCAAGAATTATGACCAGGGTCGATGATCTTTCTATCATTCACATTAGCATCCTTATGTTATACTGTAAAAAGATCCTCTCATTAACAAAGAGTCCTTAACAGTAAACTTTTTACATGACTTGTATTAGCAATTCATCAAATACGAAATCTTTTCCTTAAAGGTAGGGGATGGACTTGATAGATTTGAAGATTTATTCCCCAATCCCCAGCATATTGGTTCAAGAATGGAGTCTTCAAGGGTTAATACTTTTTTAAAGGGGCTTGTTACTACTATTAAAGATAATTAGGACAAATAGTTCTAGTGAGTGAGAATGATCATGGATCCTAAAGATGTTCTTATATACGTATATTTCAACTCGTAATTTGAATTGGCATTAAGAAAGTTCCCATGGCTTTGAGATTCTGTGGTTGTTGTTGCTGTTGTTTTCTGTGGTTGTATTTGTATCAGGACATATGAATATTGTGGTAGTAGTAAATTTGAAGTTGTTTACAATGGTTGTCTTTTAAACAGAACTTAAAGTTGAGGTGAAGCACAAAACGCAATCACCAGTATACAATCACACATTAGCCACTATATTGGTGCAATATGCTTCTGCAGTAAGCTTCAGCTCATATTATCCATGTCAGGTTATGATAGTCAGATCGCTATCATGATCATAATTTATAACCTGCAATCTCACTTGTAGGTATATATGTCAGATTTAGTGGAACTATTAACCTGGACTTGTTCAAGATGTGATGGTTTAACCAAGGTTGAGTTTATAGATTATCATCAAGTCTTAAGCTGTTTGGTACATTAGGTGTATTTTGCAGTAACTTTTTTTGCATTACGCTTGTTTTCTGCAAGCAGGGGTTTCAGATGACAGAGCTGATTGTTGACGTCCAGAACTGTCTGCAGGTATGTGCAATTAAGCATGGAAACAGTGCCTCATCCCCACCAGAAAGACGTAAAACTGATGTGTTGATGGATAATTCATGTTTTTTGGTCCTAGTTTATTTAAATTCCAATCGTGAATATCTTCTGTAGGCATTTGTCGGAGTGGCAGAGGATCTTAATGCCATTGTTGTTGCTTTCAGAGGCACTCAGGAAAACAGGTATCACCAGTGCTGTATATACTAGTGTCCTTCAACTGCGCTATATATTTTGTTCAAAGGGTTACAATTTATTTTGCTTTTTTTATTTTCATCACAGCATACAGAACTGGGTTGAAGACCTATACTGGAAGCAATTAGACATTAACTATCCTGGAATGGATGATGCAATGGTGACTGCTATACCAATTTTTCTTCCATAAAATACTATCTGGATTAATAGTGTTAATAGATTTTAGACACTTAATTGGCACTACAAAGTTTCATCACATCAACTCCAGTCCAGATGGGATTAATGTGGTGACGGCTGTGTTGATGAAGAATGTGTGTTGGTGATAAAAACCATCTGAAACGTATATGTATGGTAGGATCTATGTAGAGGCTAAGACTCATACTATTTTTTTGACTTTTTAGATGTGTGAGTTTAGAGTCTAAACCATCACTTTTCTTGTGTTTGAAGTAGTAGTTTTAAATTCTAGAGAAGAAGGAAATACTGAAATTAATGTCATAGTCATAGTTAATTAGGTCAACAGTATTAGTTGATTGATTAATAGTTAATTAGAAGGGAGTATGAATCCTCTTCAGCCCCCTCGTAATTTGGCCCACTTTGATTTGGCATTGGTATTAGTGAAATGAAAACTATGAAGTTGTGTTTTATTGAAAACTATGAACTACATAATGCTTTTTATAAAACAGAATGTAGTTGAGATGCATCTTTTATACATGTGTTCTGCTTTTCTTTTTAAATTACTGCCCCGCACAACCTCTACCTCTAGATCAGGCCCCGCTTATATGTCAATAATTTTATGCAGGACTGTATGTGTGTGTTTTCAATTTATAAAATGTATTATTTATCAGGTGCACCATGGATTCTATTATGCGTATCATAACACTAGTCTTCGGCCTGGTGTTCTGAATGCGGTTAAAGTGGCAAAAGAGTTACATGGAGATTATCAGATTATGGTGACAGGGCATTCAATGGGAGGAGCTATAGCTGCCTTTTGTGGACTGGATCTTACTGTAAATATTATCCTGTCCTTCAGACGTTTGAGAAATTATTTGTTATATTTTTATCATTTACCATATGGCTCTCCATGTGGCATACCATGTGTATATGCTTGTTTATTGATGAATAACTTGTTTAGTGTTTACATCAAATGATTTCAGGTCAATTATGGTGCTGATAATGTGCAAGTAATGACATTTGGACAACCTAGAATTGGCAATACAGCCTTTGCATCCTACTATAGCCAGCTTGTGCCAAATACCATTCGTGTTACACACGGTCATGATATTGTGCCTCATTTGCCCCCATACTATCAGTACTTTCCTAAAAAGACCTACCACCATTTACCAAGAGAGGTAACATGCTTGCTCACTAAATTGTTTCTTCAATCTTGGCAAAAGCCAGAATGGACTGATGGTTGGGTGTTGAAGATTCCTGAGTTTTAGTTTTCCTTATTTGTTTACTTTATTTAGCATGGAGGGGTAGTATTGTAATTATTAGAACTATTAGGGCTGAGTCACTGCTACCTGTATTATTATTTATATCCTGTTCCTTCTGTTTGATTGGATAAGAAATGAATGACAAATAATAAAGTTGAGAGCTTCTCTCTCTATCTCTCTTATCCTCTCCTATCTACAAGAGATAAACAGAACTCTTGATGGTATCAGAGAAGCACTCGATCCTGCTCTAAATCGAGTATCATTCTTCAACGGGCTGGTCAGGTCTCTTCTGAATCAGTGATTTCCCTGGTGGGTTCATTCCAAATCAATTTTCTCTCTCTCTTTTTTCCCCTGCTTTTACTGGGTTCTTCCACTACTCTCTCATCATGAATGCTTCAATCAAATTCGGTAATGTACCTATTGCCCTAGTCAGTGATGATGTTAGTTCCAACACATCACTCGAAAACTCATCTCAAATCCAACCAACCATTAATCTCGATTACAGCTCTTTGCCCACTGCATATAAGCTGAATGGCCAGAACTACAACCTTTGGTCTCACTCTGTTTCAATCTTCATCGGAGGGAAAGGTAAAGAAGAATACCTGTCCATTGATCTGGTCCAACCGGAAGTTAAAAGCCCAGGTTACAAAAATTGGAAAGCAGAGAATAATATGGTTATGTCATGGCTCTTGAATTCTATGACTCCGGAAATAGGTGAACAATTTATGTTTTACAAGACAGCATCAGAAATTTGGGAGGCAGCTCGAGATACATTCTCAAATCAAGACAACACTTCAGCCATATTTGAAATCAAAGGGATTCTTCATGATCTCCGTCAAGGAGAGTTGACTGTGACGAGCTATTTTACGGCACTGAACCGTTATTGGCAGCAACTCGATGTCCTGGATGCCATTACCTGGAACTGCCCACTAGATGGGAAACAGTACAAGCGGTTGGTGGAAACGGAAAGGATTTATAAATTTCTTCTTGGACTCAACCAAGAACTTGACGAGGTCCGAGGAAGAATTCTCGGTACTAAACCTATGCCTAGCCTCAGAGAAGTTTTTTCAGAAGTTCGCCGTGAAGAAAGTCGAAGAAGGGTTATGCTTGGAAATACTGGCAGTATTACGAATGAGGGATCGGCTCTTGCAACTCGTGCTCCATCTAGTATGAAATTTTCTGTGGCCTCTGGAATATCTCAAAGGAAAAATGGTCGACCCTGGTGTGATCATTGCAAACGACCTGGTCACACCAAAGAAACCTGCTGGAAAATTCATGGAAAACCATCTGACTGGAAACCTAATGCTCGTGTAAATGTAGCAACTAGTGACATCCAGGAGGTTTTTAGCAAGGAACAGATACAAGCTCTTCAGAAGATGTTGCAAATCACTCCCCCTGAAGACAAAAAGATTGCAGTTGTTGCCCAACAAAGTGGAGTTTCATCTGCATTTGTAACAAGTGCATCTGGTGAAAAACCTTGGGTTGTTGATTGTGGTGCTACTGACCACATGACCGGGGATAGGAATATACTTTCTGAATTCCAACCTGTACCGAATGGAAGAACCATACGAGTTGCTACTGGAGAAGGCGCACAAGTGGCGGGCATTGGTACAGTTGTCATATCCAAGAATATAACACTGAAATCTGTGTTATATGTTCCCAATCTCGATTTCAATTTGTTAGCTCCTATTAAACTAATGAAGGATCTAAATTGCATTACTATCTTAACCCCATCTACATGCATGTTTCAGGCCTTGAGTTCGGGGAAGATGATTGGCAGTGCTAAAGTATGTGATGAGCTCTACCACATGGAAGTCGAGCATTCGGGAAAACGTCAAGTTTCATCGTTATTTCATGTTTCTAGTAAAAATAATGTGATGTTATGGCATCATAGGTTGGGTCATCCAAACTTTCATTACTTAAAAAAGTTGTTTCCTCATTTATTGAATAAAAGCCCGAATGATTACAATTGTGAAGTGTGTCAATTATCCAAGCATGTTAGACATTCTTATACTCCACTCCCATATAAATCCTCTCATCCATTCTATTTAATTCATAGTGATGTTTGGGGCCCCTCCAGAGTGAAAAATATTTCTGGTGCGAGGTGGTTTGTTACTTTTATAGATGACCATACTCGTGTTACTTGGGTCTTTCTGATGAAGGACAAATCTGAAGTTGGGTTAATTTTCCAGCGTTTTCATCAAATGATTCAAAACCAATTTGCAACAAAAATTCAAGTTCTCAAATCTGATAATGCAAAGGAATACTTTCACTCTGAGTTGGGAAACTACCTTACTCAGCAGGGAATTGTCCATCTCACATCCTGTGTTGACACCCCGCAACAAAACGGTGTTGCAGAAAGGAAAAACAGACATCTGCTAGAGGTAACACGTTCGTTGCTATTATCTAGTTATGTTCCAAATCATTTTTGGGGAGAAGCTGTGTTAACTGCCGCATACCTTATCAATAGGATGCCTTCCCGAGTCATTGACTTCAAAACTCCACACCAATTTCTACAGTCTAACTTCCCTCACATTCGAATTTTGTCCCAATTACAACTGAAAATATTTGGTTGCACCTCATTCGTTCATAATCATCAGCCAAATCGTAGCAAACTAGATCCCAGGTCATTCAAATGTGTCTTTCTGGGATATTCCCCGAACCAGCGCGGTTATAAGTGCTACTCTCCTTCCACCAGGAAATTCTACCATTCCATGGATGTCACATTCTTTGAAGATAAACCTTATTATTCCAAAACTGAAATCCAGGAGGAGAACTGTGTGGAATATCAATTTTTGGACTATCCTACCTTATTCCCTTCCGATCCGAGTCACCATGCGGATATTCCTAATCCATTAGGGATACCGGTTGGAGTTGAATCTAACAGTCCAAATCCGAGTGACCCTGAATTTGTTCCAAACCCATCAGTCGATGTATACTTAAATAAAGATGTCCAAAAAGATGACATTGTCTACACCCGGCGCCCGAGACAACAAAACGAGGTGGAAAAGCAAGTCACTACTGAAGCACATAGCCATGAACTCTTCCCGGATTCACCAGGTAATACTCAACCCAAAGATTCCAGTCCTTATATTTCCCCTGATGATTCAGGCGATTTAAATATTCCAGTTGCATTACGTAAAGGGAAGAGAAGTTGTACCATGCATCCAATCAGTAACTTTGTTTCATATGACAAACTCTCACCCGAATACAAAGCATTTGCTCTTTCAGTTTCAGAAATTAAAGTTCCTAAAAACCTTCAAGAAGCGATCACAAAAAGGGAATGGGCAAATGCTGTGCAAGAAGAAGTCAATGCTCTTCGGAAAAGCAAAACTTGGGAATACACTAACCTTCCACCAGGAAAGAAAACTGTGGGGTGTAAATGGGTGTTTGCTGTCAAATACAACTCTGATGGAAGTGTAAGTCGGTTTAAAGCAAGGCTAGTCGCTAAAGGATTTACACAGTCCTACGGGATCGACTACTCAGAAACTTTTGCACCTGTAGCAAAACTAAATTCCATTCGAGTATTACTGTCCCTTGCTGTAAACCTTGACTGGCCGTTGCATCAACTCGATGTGAAGAACGCATTCTTAAATGGGGAACTAGAGGAAGAAGTTTACATGGATGTTCCACCGGGGCTGGAGTCTCAAGAAAACAAAGGAATGGTGTGCAGGCTTAGAAAATCCCTATACGGTTTGAAGCAATCACCACGAGCATGGTTTGAAAAGCTGACACAGGTGGTCAAGCAATACGGATTCATTCAAGGGCAAACCGATCACACGATGTTCACAAAACACTCCCATGGTGGACGAGTTGCAATTATGATTGTCTATGTGGACGATATCATTATAACGGGAGACTACTCAGAGCAGATTAAAGATCTCAAACTCGTCTTGGGAAGACAATTTGAAATAAAAGATCTTGGTCAACTCAAATATTTCCTTGGTATGGAAATTGCAAGGTCTAGAAAGGGCATCTCTGTATCACAAAGGAAATATACTCTTGATCTCTTGAAAGAGACTGGGTTATTGGGTTGCAAACCAGCAAGTGTGCCAATGGAACCAGGAATAAAATTTCGAACAGAAACCAAAGATGAGCTAGTAGACAAGGGAAGATATCAAAGACTTGTGGGCAAGTTAATCTACCTCACACACACAAGACCCGATATCGGGTTTGCTGTTGGTATGGTGAGCAGGTTCATGAACACTCCCACAGTTCGCCATATGGAAGCAGTATTTCAGATTCTTCACTACTTAAAGAAAAACCCAGGATATGGGCTCTGCTTCAAAAAATCCAGTGAAAGAGGAGTAACCATTTACACAGATGCAGATTGGGGAGGATCTTGTGTGGATGGAAGGTCCACCACAGGCTATTGCACTTTTGTGTGGGGTAATCTGGTCACTTGGCGTAGTAAGAAGCAATCTGTGGTGGCTAGAAGTAGTGCTGAGGCTGAATTCCGTGCAATGTGTCAAGGAATATGTGAAGGGATATGGTTAGGAAGAATGTTGAAAGAACTAAACATTCAGAATAACAGAAAGATGATGTTATTCTGTGACAATAAAGCGTCAATTGAAATTGCGAGAAACCCAGTTCATCATGATCGCACTAAACATGTGGAGATTGATCGACACTTTATAAGAGAAAAGTTAGAATCTGGAATTCTAGAGCTATCGCATATTCCAACAGACTTTCAAGTTGCCGACATTCTCACCAAGGCCCTTCCAAAGAACAAATTCGAAAATATGAAGAGCAAGCTGGATATGATTGATATCCATATCCAACTTGAGGGGGAGTGAAGATTCCTGAGTTTTAGTTTTCCTTATTTGTTTACTTTATTTAGCATGGAGGGGTAGTATTGTAATTATTAGAACTATTAGGGCTGAGTCACTGCTACCTGTATTATTATTTATATCCTGTTCCTTCTGTTTGATTGGATAAGAAATGAATGACAAATAATAAAGTTGAGAGCTTCTCTCTCTATCTCTCTTATCCTCTCCTATCTACAAGAGATAAACAGAACTCTTGAGGTGTGAACGTTATTTTTGGAGATACGCGCTTACAACGTTTTTATAAGACTTCGAAAACAGTTAGTTATCAGATTTACTCGGGCTGATGATATGTTTAGTTGCTCAACTACTTTACTACTCTCCCTAAGCAAGTCACTAATTTGACCAGATATGTAAATTTAGAAAAAAAAAACTGTGCGGTAAGTTTTTGTTAGACAACAGAAAAATAATATGAACAATGATTTCTTTAAAATGAAATGGGGGATAACTTTGGGATGGACCAGGAAGGTAAAAGCAAATTATTTAGGGGTGATGGGATATGTTTTATGATAAATTGTTATTTTGATCAATTCATTGCATTCTCACTTCCGATTCTATTATTAGCTCTAGTCCTTCCTAATCCATCTGGCTTTGCTGGTTGGTTATAGGATGCTTTTAATTGTACTGAAATTTTGTGTTCTGGTATGATCTATTCAGGTCAAGTCTAATTTGTTTAAGTTTGGTCTAGTGTGGTCTGATTTGGGACTGAAATCATTCAAATTAAAAACATCCTAAATGTTGTCTTCCCAACATGTGTGAGAATTTTACAGAGAACCTTGCAACTTCTGATAATGCAGGTCTGGCTCTATAACATTTGCCTTGATAGTTTTGTTTATCCAGTAGAGAAAGTTTGTGATGGTTCGGGAGAAGACCCAACTTGCAGCAGGTATGAGTTCTCTTATGCTGAGGAAATTACCAAAACACGGGACTTTTTTGTCTGACAAGCCAAAATACGGGAATGAGAATTAGGGTACCAAAATACGGGAGTCGGAACTCCCAATTCCGACTAGGGATTAGGCTTAGATTTTCGGATGGACCTCCTCCTCCTGTCGGATATGCCACTTCCGACAAGGGGGTTTCTTTAATTTTTTATTTTTAAATTCCTGGTGCAATTATTACTTCTCAATAAAGTTTTTTTAAAATAAAGTTTTTTCAAATAAAGTAATTCCTATCGGAATTGTTAATTACGAATGTAAAAGTTTTTTTTTTTAAATTCGTGTCATATTTTTTAAAATGAAAATTATGCATTTTGATTTTTTGAGTTACAAAACATTGATTCATTTATTTTATTTTTTAACCCATGCATATCGTGAATTAAATTAATAAAAAAAAATGCAAATTTGATTTTGTTTGAAATGCAATTTTTGTAATTTTAATGGAAGTGAACAAAACAAATGTAGTGATGGTACCATGGATTAAGACCATGGCGCAATTACGTAGTCCAGCCCATAAACGGGATCGGCCCTCGACGGGACCAGCCTAATTACAGGATTATCCCATAAACAGGATTAGGCCCGCAAAATAGTTCTCACTTTTCTTTGAAAAATTGTTCTCATTTCTTTTTTTGAAAAGTTTTGTGTGGCTAACATTCATTTCATTACAGAAAAACATGGAATTGACAGATACTTTTGGAAGGAATTCCCCAAAATTGAGGATTAGTTAGCATTCCGACATTAATTATTACTAGAAACGATCAACGAACCGATGGTTAATCGTTGATGGTTTCACAAGTAAGTAACTTCGGTTTATTAATTCACGGTCGTGATTAATAAACTTAAGAGGGATTAATTTTGTTGGTTACACCGAAACCGTTGTGTTGAGGTTATCAATCTCAATTGATTTCATCAAGGAGTTAAAGAGATTAAATGCTACTATTATATCAGTATACAACGTTGTTCTATATTTGATTAAAAGTAAGGGTTATTAATGAACGATCGTTGTTAATACCTACGTTTTATTTATTAATATAAAAAATAATTTTTAAATTTGTCTTATTGTAAATTTTCAAAATCTAATTTTTTAAATTTTTTTACTGATACAAAATTATATATATTAATGTTCAAAGTTGTGTCTCGACAAGTATAAAATGTTGACCGTTGCGTTTATTTAAGAACAGAAGAATGAGTTCTGCCTATTGCCAAATATCTATCAACGAATGATACCTTGCCACGTAAGCCCTAGGAATATCCTGGCCTCACTAGAACTCCGCCTAGGCTCGAGGTCTGTTGTCCTGCCCGGCCTGGTGGCGGGTTCCTATCGTAGGCCTAATTCCTAATGGGCTAAGCGGCTTTTAACCATGAATCCCGTTTGTGGGCTAATCCTGTACTTTGGCTGGTCCCATCGAGGGTCGATCCTGTTTATGGGCTAATCCTGTAATTAGGCTAGTCCCGTCGAGGGCCGATCCCGTTTATGGGCTAATCCTGTAATTAGGCCGGTCCCGTCGAGGGCCGATCCCGTTTATGGGCTAATCCTGTAATTAGGCTGGTCCCGTCGAGGGCCAATCCCGTTTATGGGCTGGACTACGTAATTGGGTCATGGTCTTAATCCATGGTACCATCACTACATTTGTTTTGTTCACTTCCATTAAAATTACAAAAATTGCATTTGAAACAAAATCAAATTTGTATTTTATTTTATTAATTTAATTCACGATATGCATGGGTTAAAAAATAAAATAAAGGAATCAATGTTTTGTAACTCAAAAAATTAAAATGCATAATTTTCATTTTAAAAAATATGACACGAATTTAAAAAAAAAAACTTTTACATTCGTAATTAACAATTCCGATAGGAATTTAAAACTTTATTTTAAAAAACTTTATTTTAAAAAAACTTTATTGAGAAGTAATAATTGCACCAGGAATTTAAAAATAAAAAATTAAACAAACTCCCTTGTCGGAAGTGGCATATCCGACTGGAGTGGGACAAATATTTTTTCAAAACTCCTACCTCTAGTCGGAAGACCGAATTCCGACTCCCGCTTTTTTAAAAAACCCTAACTTTTCCCGTATTTTGGCAACACATGCTGATAATTCCCGTATTTTGGTAAAACACCCTCTTATGCTTCTGTTGTCATTTATTAGTTATGGCTGAGGAAGAAACCATATATAGATGGTCGCAAACCATTATTTTCCAGCCAGACACTATATCTAAAGTCTAAATTGATGAAAACCATTTTTTTCTGTTTTCATAAAATAATGGTTTTGCATGAAAACCTTCAAGAATGAAGAATTGAATCTTTAACTTAGGTATCAGTGGACCATGCTGATATCTATTTATATTTGGCGAAAAAATAAACCTTTCAGGTCAGTGTCTGGGAACAGCATAGCAGATCACATGACATACTTTGGTGTTCAGTTGGGATGCGAAGAACCGGTTTCATGCAAAATCATCATTATGGATTCCCTTCTTACTTCTTACATGACACAAGATCTTAATGGAAACATTGTATTATCTCGAGGTATTTCTGCCTCTACGTTAAGGATGAATCCAGAGTCCAGTAAACAGAGTGCACCTTTGTGATGTTTTGTCTTAGCCTTCTTTGGTTGAACATTTGCGTTCTGAAAATGTATGATAGCATGTGTATATACTTTTTTTCACAATGTACATAATTAGTTAAATAGTTAGAATACTTTTTTGCTGCCTTCATTAGTGAGTCTAACTGTACCAGGATAATGTTCTTTGGGCTATTTTTTATGTTCAAATTGCAAAAGAAAAAGCCAACATTTCATTATCAAACCATGTACCATAGTTTGTCAAGAAGCCGTTTTAGATTGATTCTACTTCGGTTTATTTTCTATGGCAAATTTACAATAAGTTTTCTGGAACATGGATAGGGAATGGACAGAGAAGTATTTAAAAGTTGAGAATTAGAATAAATTTTCGTCAAATAAAAAATTGGCAAGTGTCCTCTAGACTCTAGCTTCACAAAAATTGGGGTTTTGATCATCAAGAAGTGCTTCTAAAATGATATACCCTTGAAAACTGATTTTGTTGAGGAGTGCTCCTTCAAATAGCAGAATGAGGTCTAAAAAATTGATTCCAAACCCCCTAATTGACATTATTTCTGTCCCTTTGAATTTGGTATATGAGGAGGTGCTTTGATTATTAGGAAAATTGAATTTATGTAAGGAGTAGTTGATATTGAATTGATAAAGTAAGAATAACGTAAGTATGATTTACAACAACATATATTACCGTTTTTGTATGAGATCATCTAACAGAGACCGACCGAAGACGGCGAAAAGGAAAAAAGAGATAATCTTAACAAGAATGAATGAGCATTATTGTTATTGTATACGAAGTATCTTTAATATTACCCTCTTCGCCCTCTTGGAAATCTTTTTAAAGTTTGTTTGCACATTAAAACAAGATATTAACAAATGTCTAATCAAATATCATCTTGTTGTCTGATGACATTATTGTGACTCCCAAATACGATTCACAGGTTTGAGTATCATCAACTTACAAGTTACTCTGGAATGGTTAATGCATTCAATAATAATTAATACTTCTTCGGTTTTGAAATTATTTATGAAGATAGATATTTGATTTGGAAATATAGGGTTCTACTTAAATTACACTAAAATCTGCTTGAAAATGGCTTCTAAGAAATCATTTTAATGCTTCTACTTTTTGACAAAACATACGGCCATACGGGGTATCATTTTGAGGGTATTTTGAGAAACGATATACGATAGTACGAAGTAGTTTTTACCAAAAATATTAATTGAAGTTAGTGGTGGACTAAACCGGGCCGGTTCGGGCCTCGGGCCTAGGCCCGGCCGGGCCTCGGGCCTAGGCCCGGCCGGGCCTCGGTTCAGTAATAGCAGGCCCGAGCCCGAACCGGGGTAGGGCGGTCCCGGGTCCGGTTCCGGGCCGGACCGGGCCGGGCCGGTCGGGCCACCCGGTTTAATTTTTTTTTTTCCCTTTCTTTCCCCCCCCACCCCCACCCCCCCAAACCCCCCCAAACCGGCCTAAACAGATAGCCCAAGCCCAATAGCCCAAAAAAATGAAAAAAATTAAAAAAAAAAATAGATTTGGCCCGGACCCGGGCCCGAACCGGCCGGGCCGGGCCGTCAAACCCATGAACCGAGCCCGGAACCGCCCCACCCCGGGCCTCCGGCCCGAACCGGACCCGTACCCGGAAAACCGGGCCGGGCCGGGCCCGCACAGTGGCGGGTCGGGCCGGTCCCGGGCCGGGCGGCCCGAACCGAGGCCATGCCTGATTGAAGTGGGAAGAAGTGATGTATATCTGGAAGATTTTTAAAATAGGAATAAAAATGTTTGGAAATTCTAAAACATGAGTACTATATTTGTATTCTCTAAATAGAATAATTATTGTCATGTTTTGGTTACCAAACTTTAAACATTATTTTTTTCAAGTTTAATAGCAATTACTTCTATTTTATGAATAAAAATATAGTTCTTCTGTTTTAAAATTCTCAAACATTTATACTGGCTTTTAAGACAATTTCTTCTATACATTGCAAAATCAAGATGAACTCTGTGAAACACTCTGGTTGAAGTGTTGCAGTTACGTTATTGCAATAGGGCCCTCTTTTGGATTGATTGATCGGCATTGCATTATTGGAATATAGCTACGTGATTAGTGAGAATTTAAACAGCATACATCAATATATTACTAAGACATGCAAAATGAAAGGGATGGAGAGACACTACATCATTAGAGCATCACCAATGGGTGATTGTTGACATTAGAAAAAATAGCCTCGTCACCACAGTCTAACGTTTCTGTTATATATTTATCTCCAATGCGGTACGTTATCGGCAATGTAATGCTGACATGTTCTTAATTAACGAAAGCAGTGTTAACATCACCGTCCTATGATAACATGGTTGTTCACATGCTGAGTCACCAAATCGTGGGGGAGAAATACGGCCAAAATATTTGTCAAATCTCCTATCAAAGTCATTTACGAGATAAGTAGTGGGAAAATGTGATATATCTCACCCACTTTCTTTTTCCCCTTTTGGTTCTTGAGTAAACCTCCGGTAGATGTTCGTTAATTCCAAGAAAATATATAGAAGCTTTATCCTCTTCAGTCTTCATTGCATTTAATTTCTAGTACGTTAATTAATTTCTTCCATTTGCAATATTTCCCTTGTTAAAAATTAAAATTCCTATCTTCTTCTCTGAAAAAAGTTTCAGAAGTAGATGTCTAGCACTTCTTTTATTTTTTTAACTCAATAAAAAAGAGAAGTGATTCTATCGCATCGGGAGTTTGGCACCACTTCTCTCAAAGAATGTTATAGGAATTATTTTTGGCGTGAAGGTATTGGGGAAGGGTTTGATCAAATATGATGTACGCGTGAGCTTTTAATAGGCTGTTAACATGAACCATTGGACATATTTTTTGGCCTTTAGTCACGGTACACCACTCTAACATGATGTGGATGACTATTCCATTCATTGGTTGGCATGTGTCATAATTTATTTGATGTTAACGGTGACCCATTGATGATGCTCTTAATATGTGTCCGTCTTTACATGACTTGGTATTAATTAAAGATATTTATTGCTGGTTAGTAGAGATGAGGATAATCTTAGAAAAAGTAATTATTACTTTTATTTATTAAGTGACAAGCCTTTTGACAAATGTTTATGATCAAAGTAAAATGGTTTGCTACAAATTTGAAAGAGTGCTAAAAAGGTAAAAAATGAACTGCCAACAAGTTGCATGAGGGTATTAGGACTGATTTGAAACGATTTATAAGCAGAACTCAATTATTGAGTTTTATGTTAGATTAGATAGAATTAAATTATTGTGAATTAAACAAAACCATGTTTGGTTGATAAGCATCCATCCCAATCTCAAGAATTGAGGAAATATCAAAGGGACGAAAGAGACTGGATTCTCGAAGATCAGAAAATATGGGAATTTGGGGAATTTTCTAATTTCAAATGTGGGAACAAAAACAAATTTCCAACAGCAATTCCAAGCAGTGAATTGGTTCCCAATTCTGCAAGATATATGACATTATTATAATATTATTACCATTCCAACTAGAACATCAACCATTCCAACTCGGAAACTCTGACAACTTTCCTTTTTTGGATGTCCTATTAACTTTGTCACTTTCCCTTTTAAGTAAATAATTTATGATTCTAGTTAATTCTCTCTCTTCTGCACAATTCTCAACTACACAATTTTCACTTTATTAATACATGTGCTGGTCAAACTTGACAAAGTTATAAGGGACGAATGTGTAAAATTTTGCGGAGTATATTTTTTTTAATGAAAACCCAAAATGGGAAATGTTTCTCGATTTAGCTACGGATCGGAACCCAAAATGTCACTTAAATTGATTATTATCTCATTTGTATGACGTGAAAAAAGTAAAATAGTTATTCATATTTATTGATGGTCATGAACTGGCTGACCCCACCACAAACTTATCATGCAAAATAACGGTTGGTACTGAAATAATTTGGTAAAAAATAATGATAACTGGTCCATGGAGGATGACCCTTCAAACACACCCAATAAGAATTGTGGCTTACAAAGTGCACCATTAATAGAACAATTTCCCTACACAAATGAAGAGCATCTCCAAGACATTTGAATAATAAATGTGCAGTGTCTGAAAATGATGTGACTATATGGATAAGTTTTTCTTCCTTTTTTTCTATACAATTGGACTTGCAGTCTTCTCTTCTGGTTCTGGTTTGGCTTCAACTTTTGCCTCATCAGTAGTAGCTGGCACATCATTTTCTTCTGCATTCTTTCCTTCTTCATTTTCCCCAATGCCAGCTTCTGTCAATCAAAAGCATATTATTTAAAGCTTTTCAATTTAAGTTTGTTGTTAGACTACACTCTAATTACCTATACTTTCATATCTGTACTAATGGTGGCCGAGGGCACTTGGGGTTTGGTTTTTGCGTCTTCCGATTCAGATTACAAGATATTGAAAGAATGATTATCAAAATAAAACTAAAGTTTGCTTCGGGTTGGATTTGTTTTTTAATGCTAAAGTTTATTTCATTTTTAATTCGGTTTGGTTTTATTTAGTTTATGTTTGATACCCATTAGTACGATTTGGATAACACATTGCCAAACTAAAACCAAATTGAATAAAATTCACTTTTGGTTAGGTTAGTCCATTTTGTGTTTTATTCTGTTTCAATTTAGCACAGATCAATACAGATTTATACAGCATCACCAAACGAAAACTGTATGACTAATTTTCGGTTCGGGTAAGTTTGTTTTTCTTCGGTTAAGTTGAAAAAAATCAAAATACCCACCCTAGCTATTCTTCTAAAGTTGTTATAGAAGTTTCAAATGAGAATGTGTTAACACATTTACCAGAATTGTGTCTAATATGAGAGAAAAGAATTGAATCAGTATGACAAACCTTTTTGAGCATCTGTTTGGTTTTCATTAACAGATGTTTCCTCAGGTTTTGCACCCTCTTCAGTTCTGTTGCTGTCCATCTCCTCCTCAATCTTAACAGACACAGATTCTGTTTCTTCATTCTGCTCAGCAATGGCTATTTCACCCTTCTCTTTTACATCTTCCACATCCACAATACTTTCACTGAGCCCCTCAGGTTCATTTATTTCTTCTTCATCTTTAGCTTCATCTTTAGCTGATACAGATTCAACTTCTGCATTCTGCTCTATAATGGCTATTTCACCTTTCTCTTTTACATCTTCCACATCCACAATACTTTCATTGAGCACCTCGGGTTCAATTATTTCTTCTTCACCTTTAGCTTCATCTTTAGCTGATACAGAT